GTCAATGGTGTTTGTGGAAGCCTAAAATCGGATACAGTTTTCAAAAAGGGTAAAAGAAAAAAATTTTTACTACCTCTTAGAAAGATCAATGGACAGTAGATGTGCTAACTCATGAAATGTGCTTTTGACTCGAAAAGATTACTTAATTAGGGTTGTTAGACTAATTGCCGTGCAGTACAATCCCAGGATATTTCAGTTACTTCGGGATGCTGGCTTTTGAACTTTACCAATTCCCGAATAATTTTGAACCCGACCTGCTGTTACACTTGCATTCAGGGTTTCCAAACTACAAGCCTTATATTTTCCGTGTACGGAAAATGATACATTCCTATACGATATTAAAAGGAGACCAAATGGGGTTCATAAGTTTATAGTGCATTTGAGCCGTACTGAAAACTGTACAAGCAACATTGATAAATGCAGAGAAATGAGGTTTTATGGACAGGCATTTCACGGTCATAAAAAATTTCATGATTATGAACTTTTTTAAAACGGAATTTCACCCTTCCTTCAAGTATAAAATTTGAAAAAGACGTAATTTTCGTCCAAACGAATGAAAGAATATATATTTTCATGCATGCTTTCAATAGTATATATCTGAATTTATGAGGACGTCTAAGGTCACTGAAAACAGTTCACACTAATTAAGTAGTCTTTTTCACAGAGTGTAGTTTTTACATGCGGTTGGAAAGAAGTTCGTTTAAAAGTCGCCGTTCCCGAGTAACTGAAATATCCTGGGCTTATGCTACATGATAGTTAATTTAACAACCATACTTAAGTAATCTTTTTCGAGTCGAAAACGCATTTTATGAGTTAGCAAATCTACTGTAGGCATCCTAATAAGCACAACGGGACGATTGAATTCCGTAAAACTATCAGTGAGCGTTCCTCAACTATTGTATATTCCCGGTTGTTAGCGACAGGTCAAAGAGAGCGGGGCTCATTGATTAGAGGCGTTGGATTCCTAACTAACAAATCGCGAGTTCGGGCCACAGGTGTTCCACACTTCACGGTTGGGTATGACTGGCTGACGACGACCAATAAACCAGAAATGGTCATTCCAGTCTCCTTTGTCTTTGTTGGTAATGCTATTCTTCTTTCCGTCATAACTGCTGACTACGGGAATAAGAAAATCGCACTCAGAATGCTGACTCGCGATTCCTTGTCTACTCCTCAATCGCCTGAGCTAGCGCATTATAATTCAAAACGTACCTGAGGAAATCGGGATTTGCTCCATCTGCCAGAAAAGGGACAACTTATACTGTCGGTGACTGTCTTAAAATGATGACGATCGGAAACCCAATCCCACTCAGCCATTAATTGACGACATTGCTACTACTCCCGTCCTCAGTAGGCGTGTTAGCGTTTGTGAAAATGTCCTATGTGTTGTACATAGGATTTGCCTGTCCACTTAAACAAATTTGCTAGTTTGTTACCATTTGCTTGATTTTTGTTTCGACTTTGGACATTCGTGGGCCATTTCCCACAGCACCACCCGCAAGACCCCTACTGCCACGATTCCCGTACTGCACAAGTCTGCGGCCTCAATGTCGTCAGCGGGTTTTATTCTGCTTGATGGTTCTGCTTAACCGTTCAGCTGTTACAAGTGATGGACAGAACTTCACTCAATTGGTTGTGAAGGACAGATAGTAAAAATTTCAAGAAAAGTAAGCCGGTGGGGCCAATTCCGATTGTAAATTAAATTAAGACTCCCGACATTAAATTGAGACTTTATCGCATGAATGTACTTCCCATTCGCGAGTATTGTTGCCCATTATTTGGTTTGATGAACGAAGCTAGTCGTTCAAAAATAGAAAATGTCCAAATACGTTTTATTAGAAAATTTTTAGGCATGGAACATCCAAATATCTCCCACTCAGATAGATGCCAGCTAATTAACCTAAAATTTTTATGAGTTCGAGAGTTAGAAGCAGGCTTCTGTCTCCTCTTTCGCATTAATAATACCTCAAATCTTCCTCGGATTCAGCACTTACCCTTAGTAGTCGAACGTACAATCTTCGCAACTCTTCCCTGATTATCTCTCCTCCCGCTTTCTCCACCTCCAAGCGCTCTCTTTTTTTCGCTTCCAGACATACTTTCCTCTGGAATAACCTTCCAATAAATATAACATCTTCAGATAATATACACACTTTTAAGAGAGTGCTGCGCGTTTATCTGAATACTGGCTCGATTAAACTTTTATTTTCCTCATCCTTCCCGGACAACTTCCTCCATGACACCGAGAAAGGACCACCGGGAATTTAGGACGCCGCCATTAAATTTCCGTATCCGCTCACATTTCCTTCTTTTGTGTGTAGTATCGCTTCCTAGGATCCCTCATCAGAAATGTTAATTTTTAGACTTTTCAATTCATGCATCGTGCCCCTCACAGGATGCGCTCTATCGACGCTCTTGGCGAAACCTTCTGTATTCGCCATATACCAGTAGTCTGGCCGTATCTCCCCTGCCCCATCCTCGGATGCACTCGGTTCCTATCGCCTCGAGACTGGTTTTCTATTCGCTACTTTGACACGAATGCCCTTATCCGGCATATGAATTCTGCCTTGATGATACCCGTATCGAATCTTTCACTCAATATCACATACAGGCCAGTTCTGCCTGACCCGCCTACTTACCCCTTCATTAAATCCGTTATAAACTGTCACATACAGGCCGGTCCTGCCTGCTTTTTATACGTTCAGGAGCGACAGTTTTTTCTGCTATAGTATTAATCCAGTCATACTCACTTGGTTTATATGTTAGGATTTTTTTTCACTTCTCGCTCAAAATTCTCCGTAACATACTACTTAGTCAATAACTATGAATTAAGTACTGTGTGGATTCTGTGTACCTGCTCTAAAATTCCAAAATTTGTGTAAAAGCTATCCCCACGGGTCTTGAATAAAAATTATTATTAGTATTATTATTAATATATCAGCCCTGGCAGGGCTGCTGGCAAGCAAGCAATATATCCGCTAACATCCCCGCGCCGGGGGCGTCTTACGTTTTTGGCAAGAAGGAGCTTCAAACAGCGTTTTTCCAATTTCACCAACGAAATGACCGTCCTTCCGATCTTCGATATGCTGATTCCCATCCTTTACGGCCTGGTTTTGTCTGACTAAGACAGTGAATTTGAATGGTCGCCGCCCACACGGCCATCTTTCGTATTTTTAGCTTACTGCATGCACTCGATTTTGACAGGGCTTCCAAATTGTGAAGGATCAACAGTTCGGGGTCTCCCAAGTCAAAATTCGGGGAAGACAGGGCTACTGGAAAAACATTGCTAAGACAAGAGGACATATACGCGAATCAGAAGGTGGAGAGAGTAAAGGTTCTCACGGACAGTGTCGAGAGAGAAAAATACGCTGTATTTTGAAATTATAAATGCAAAATTCTCAGCGAAAATTGACACCATTCAATATATGCAGTAAACAAGTTAATAGATTATTCCAGAGTCAAGAAGTTTAACGCAAAAGGAACGATTACTATGAGGACAGTTCAAGTCTTAACTTCTGTATTTCTATCCCTTCACACATAAGATAGTGTGCCAGGAATGGCAGTGCGGAAACTCGAAAAGCCGATGTGCGGCAAAACACAAGTCGGAAGCTGCGGCGCATTGGGCGGGAAGACTTCGCAGACATAAGATCAGAATGCGAGGGATGGGCAACGCCATCTTTAATCCGACCAGCAAATTGCTTGACCGTATTGAACTATCGTTGTAGGATAATATCGACTAAAAGGATAAGAAACACCAGCGGTAGAAGGGGGCATTCGGAGGATTCGTTTTAAAATTAAAAGATCTCTTTTGAGCAAAGCAGGAAAAATGACAGGAGAGCAGTATAGGATAAGAGGAAGAATGCAGGCATTGATGAATCGCCAGACTAAGGGTTAAGGTGTGTGGTAGGAACGTAAACGACGAATGTAATAAGGAAGTTTACGAACTTTAGTAAATAGGGGCTCAATATGGAGGGAAAATGAAAGATTTGATGATAAAATAACGCCAAGGTACCTGAAAGAGGATACCTTGTTAGGAATGATGTCAGAGGATTCAGAACTAGGGAGGGTGCAGTCGGAAAATGCACTGAATTGATTTTTGGTTGTTCATTAGGAGACCATTCTCCTTCAGCCATACTAAGACATGGTTTAGGCCATCCTTTAGAGAATGGAGGTGTGTCTGACTCTTGAGAGGGTGTCCAACAACCACATCATCAGCATACTTAACCAAAAGAGAGTCGTTAGTGGATCTTAGATCGTCGGTGTGGAGGAGGAAAAGTGAGAGGATAGAATGGAACCTTAAAAAACTCCGCAGTACTTGAGAAGCACCACAGATGTCCACTTTCCAGACTGGAAAAATTGAGTGCGGGAAGTAAAATAATCGCTAAGCCAAGAGACGGCCCAGCCTGGAGAGCCACACGCCGATTTTTTGGTAAGTAGAAGAGGGCGCGGGACGGTACTGAAAGCAGATGAGGAGTCAAGGAAAGTGCGTGCGTACTCGCGGCAACCCTTGTCTAATGCTTTTAGAGCAGAGTGGACCACAAGAGCAGCAGCATCTAAAGCACCGCGTTTGGCTTTGTATGCAAACTGTAAAGGGTCAGACGAACTGGAAGTAAAAGGCTTAATAATATCTAAGACAACTCTTTCAGCAAGCTTTAGTAGTGCGGAGGAGCAGGCAATTGGACGAAAAGATCTAGGACCAAAATTAGCGGGTTCTTAGGGATGTGAACGATTCTCACTGTACGCCAGGCGTCGGGAATCTTGGACTCCATGAAAGACATGTTTATGAGGTGCGTCAAAACAGGGGTATGAAAAGGTATGACGCCATCAGTACCGGCAGCTGTTGATCCACGGACCTCTTTAAGGTGTACCAGCCGTTTTACGATGTTAGCCCCCTGCACAAAGAGCACGCGCCTAAGCCTTGTCCGTCTGTGGCCAATAGATGGAGGGAAAGAGCTAGTCAACGGTTCGGCGCCGGCGAGCCAAAGGCTGAGTCACACGCACGAATGGAGGAATTGGCTGACATGCTAAGCGGACTGATGGCGGCGTGAGTAAGCTGTCGGCGATCGCAGAAGCAGACTCCAACTGATTTATTTATTCATATGTTCTTCGGGGTCTGGAACTCTCGTGATTATTCTTGCTGTAACGGTGCCCATGAAAAACGACCAGTAAAACCATTTAGCTATTAGTGTGGAAGTAGTCGCAGCGTTCAATCGGTCTGCTGAGAGCGAAGATGAGTGAGTCGCTTCCTATATGATTTATGTGCGGGGGAGGGACTATTATGCCTCATAAGGGTCCAGATTTCCGGACCACAGAATCGGGTTTCGGGCGGCAGACAACGATAATCATGGGATAAACCCTGTGCCCCAACATGCTAAATTGACGGAGACATTACGGATACGTGGGTATGAAACACAAGAAAATTGTTATCGCAACTATCTGGCGGTAAGACAAGTGTACCTTAGCTCCCGACTGACCACTCTCAAATTCTTGGATAAGGCTTTTTGAAGCGATAGTGTTTAGTAATGAATTGGTTGATCAGATTTACGATTGAGACGTAGTTTTCCCTTAAATACTGCAATGCTAAAGGATGGTTTACTGTCGACTGGCAGTATACCTGGTCCATATTAAATAGGTCTTTTTGAAGAGGTGGCCAAGGCTAGGGTCAAGGCGCACAGCTCGATTTTCAATGGTGGGGAAATTAGCTACTAAGTCGATATTCCTTGACAATTAGTATATATTTTTGGACACCATTTAAAGTGCATTTGTCTATCGTCACACATATCGTATGTGGTGCAACTCGTGAAATTTCGTGACGGAAATTTGAGTGGGCAGTATGTCGTACACGTGGTGTTGTTATTTTTGTTTGTATGATTGATTGGGGCCGGGTATGCCTTGTTCTAGAGAAAAATTTATCGCAAAAATGTTTAACAAAAGGAAAACAAAATAATTTTAGGTAAAACCGGACTCCCCTGATATCTAAGTAATTTCATTTGCTTTTAAATATCCCGGACAAGGATATTTTGTTAATACTATAAACGGAGATTAATATAGAGACGAAAAGTGTCAACCAAGTCCGTTATGGAATTAACAATTTTGATTTCGCGTCGATGGAAATCAGATAAGGTCAGGTCTGAGATGTCTGATTATTTTTAGGAGGCAAGGGGAGTATTCAGCCTTCAAATTATGTTGTGAACATCTAGGGATTTTTTGCCGTAAAAGGCGGTGCTGAACTTGCTTGACAGTACTTTCTTTTGCCACTCTGAGAATTTGAGAGCGTAAATAAATATATAATAAATATATGCGGCATGCTGCCAGTTTTCCGCGTCGCGCTGTGTGATATGGACCTTGAGACAATTTCCACTTACAACTGACTACGAACGGGCACAGAAATTAGCAAGTGAAAGAATGCAACATGAGTCATTAAGCTATATTTTTAAAAGCAGTATTGCCACTTTTTGGCAAATTGTTAATGCTAAAACTGTCCACTAAAATAAGAAGACCGGCAAAAACGATCCACAAGCAGGCAAAACGACGATTTTATTCGTCGTACACTAAAAAGGAAAAGTATGGAGGAATTTGAACTTAAACTGCAAAAGGTCATAGTCAGGCCGTTTTAAGTAGGTCAAGGCTCACATAAAGCAATCTATTTACTGAGAAATATGTTCACCACAGACCCTTGTGTTGGGAGAGCATGTGTTTCTGCAATAAGGTTTTTTTTATATAAGCCCACTAAGGCGACCTATATTGTTATATATGACAAGGACATCCCGAAAGCACAATGAGCCGACTAAAGTCTTCAAGAACTGTCGACATCCGGGGTTTGGATGACCATCAAACTCGGGGGCAGTCATTCTGGTTGCCGATAACGGTCACCACCTACAACGAGGTGTTTATAGACATTGTAATGGATTTCTTCGGATACAAAGGTATTCTATAACGCGGAAAGGATATCATAAATTTACATGATAATGTCTGATTATCGCCTAAAAGGGGCAAAAATCAAATAACGCTTGCAAACTCTGATAATTTAGACGGAAATTCATAAATTCTGAAAATTTATTCTTTGTTTAAGCTGACCACCATTCGTTTTCTGCATTCACAATAACTTCCACAGACTTTAGATATCGACTCCACCGAGTCCTTCCTCCGTAGTGATGGAGTCCATGGTCCTTAATGCTTTGCCTGGTCTCATTTCGACGGGAACGTCGCTGACTCTGCAGTTCGCCACCCATCCTGTTATTTCCTCAGCTGACGACGTGCGTTTGTTAATCTATACACCCTTGCCTTCTATGAAGTTCAGATCGCACAATAGATGATGGAGAATGCACAATTCTGTTATCCTTGTGTCCTTGTCCTTATGAGCTGCCGATCTATTACGGGCGGAAGTTTTTTCTCCTGAATAACACCGGTTATCCAAAACCCATATAAGTCAGCGCTGCCAAATCAAGAATTTTTTACTTTTTGTTCAAGCCGCGAAATCTATTTACCTTGTTATTGCCTGTAAACTGGAATTCAGTGTGATCATTTTTCTAACCCTGAGTGCTTCCGACGAATTTAGACGGCGGATTAACAGAAGAGGGTTGAAGGAGAGACCAGATCTCTACTCCCATCGTTCAAGGACACAAGTATTTACTTCGCTTGGCAACCCGGGTGGTCCGCTAACGGGAGTTTTTCACCAACCATGCAGATATTCAAACGTGGAATCGCAGAACAAGCTTGATGTGTTAATGACAAACTCCTTAAAACCTTCCGCTCATTGTTTGCGAGTGATAAGAAGTGAAGTGGCAGTGCTTCACGCCACTAGGAGTGCCTGTATCAGTTTTGATAAAATATTTTTTTCCAGGATTTTCGACTGATTTTTCAGCCCGAATTCGGAACATGTTCTACAGTCCTGGAGACCGTGGCAATCCATGATGAAAATAGTCCTAAAAGTGTTTAACGGTCATAATTCCTTGCTTATGCGACCTGCCATTCCTTTGAACCATAGGCAAATTTGCGGAGTTCTTTAGCACGCAATCCGCATTATGAACAAGCTCGAATATGGCCTGGTCTTCTAAAATTCACTGCAACAGCTCTTCACCGAGTTAATTCAATTAAATGGTAGGTTAAGCAGTCAAGGCTGTGTGTGTATGTGCAGAAACACTTCATCTCTGTCAAGGCGACCAAAAATGGGAGCTGTCACTGCAGACGTTGTGATGTCAAGACTCACTGTCATAGAGGGTGGAGTCCCACAAGCCCTAGTGCTCGGACTGACCATCTCGCTCCTGTCCATTGGTGACAAAACAACCATCCCATTACGAGCAATCTCACCGAAAGCGAAACGAGGTAAGGTCGGCTATTCGCAGGTCGCGGAATGCGTATGAAACGCGAGTTATGGGATGCGCTTTCGATAAACTAAAAGTGCTCTTCAGTTACATTAACAACAAATTAAAGAACAAGGAGACGGTCTTAGTGTTGTAAGGAAAAAACATTGAGGATATCACCGAAAATGACGTTAAGACAGAACATCTTAGCTGATTTTTCGTATATGTTTTCGTCGATTAAACGGTTTTTGACGAGGCTTGATTGCCTACTGGAACAAACGACGAAATAATAGAAACCATCGACTTCACGGAAGCAGATGTGAGGAAGGGACTTCTAGCGCTTAAGGAGGTTAAGTATCCGCGAATGACTGAGCGAGATCGTTCCATTTCGCCACTACTCTCCGTGAAAAATTCAGAATGAAGATTTAGCCTGGATATTTCTGTCCGTAGCTTCATTGAATGACCACGAAAAATGGTTGAAAGGTGTCACTGAAACATGTACTCAATGTTAAGTCCGTACTCAAGACCATGTATTGTCTTGTAAACCGGAATATGATCACCTCTTTGCTGCATGTAACACAGAGGGAAAAAATTAAGGCGAGCTCGTCTTTCTATGTGGGACTGGCATTTTAAACCGTTCACCAGTACTGTTGCATGACGTTGTAATCTTTCAAGGCACGTTTGGGTTATTACTAGCCATGGCCGCCACGCTTTTATACCATATTTTAAATGGGGCCGAACAAAGGTGCCTTAAATTCTTCCAAAAAGGTCTTTATCAAAGGTTGCGGACGCCCTTTTGACTGCATGGAGCACTTCCATGGAGTTTTTCGCAATCTTGTCGCACTGCAGTATTAGTTTCATGTTGGTCTGTACCCAAACACCGAGGTCCTTGTGTAAAGATTTTGCGGGGAGTGTTCTGGCTTTCAGGCGATATGTCCTCAGGCTCTCAGTTAATGAGAGTTGGTTAAACGCAGATGAAGGACGGCACACTTCAGCACATTGAAATTCAGAAGCCATTTCTTCGACCACGCTTGCAGTCGGTGCAGATTGTTTTCAAGGGCTCTCTGGTCATTTGGACTCTTTGTGACTTGCCGGAGCTTAACGTCGTCTGAAAATATTATTTTACCACAGTAGTGTTCCTGAAGGCTATCATTAGCAGGGGTCCCAGAACTGAGCCTTTAGGCACACCACTAGTCACGTTCACCCTGTCTGACATATCATCTGCGAAACAGACACGTTGCTTCCGACCAAAAAGAAACGCCCTTATCCAGTTCGGAAGATCTCCCAGGATGCCGATGGCGTTCAATTAATGAAGAAAGCGTTGGTGCGGAACAGTGTCGAATGCTTTGCGGAAATCGATGTACACGACATCGAACTCAAAACCCTCTTCTAAAGATCTGGTCCAGATCTCCAGACAGATAAGCAGATTTGAGAGGCAGGAATGTCATCTCCGAAAGCCATGTTGAAAATCCTGCAAGGTGCTTTTTTCTTCACAAAATTCTCTATTAGGGCTTCCGTTGTCTTGCATAAGAGGCAAGTTAAGCTAATAGACCTGAAGCCGCTTGTTGCCATCCTGCTACCTCCCGTATGCAAGGGAACGAGGTTAGCTGTCTTCCAACGTGAGGGCAGCCTTCCTGTTCGCATTGACAGCTCAAAGAGAGTCGAAAGAGGCTTCGACAGCTCCGTTGATAGCTCCTTAAGTATTAGTCCGGGAATTCCGTCGGGTCCAGGAGACTTTTCAGGTTATATTTGACTGAGGACACATGTTACTTCTTCGACGGAGAGGGCACCGGTTTCAATGACGGCACTATCTTGGCGCATGTCCCCTCTGTATTGCCAGTAAGAGAGAGGAAATATTTTGAGCCTTTCCAGTCGTTCCTCATAACGAAGGCTCTTTAGCCACCGACTAGTCAATCGTTCTTCATTGTACCTTCTCCAAGAGACTTGATACTGTGTTTCCGTATCGTGCGTGGCTTGGACTACGTCCTCCGGTGTGACGACTTCTTCCAAGTCGTCACTATAAGTAACCTCTGGTGACATCCTTTCAAACTACGTGTGCCTCAAGGAATATTGGATTTGATGAACTATCTTTTCTGCAACGGTGTCTTGGAAGGACCTAACTGAAGCGAAGGTAATGTCTCAATTTATGGAGACATTTCGAAATCGGCTTGACAGACATATGCTGCAACAACAAGCGGACTATGTGACCGTAACTATAAAAACCAGGGACCATTATGAATCGAGGTCGTTATTTACTTAATACTAAACTTTATTTACATTATTGCCACTTTTGTGATTTTTATGTGACGAATAGGGAGTTCGCAGGCGTAAGCCTGTGCCCCTCAAATATGCTAAACAATGAACTGAAAACTGAACATCGATGGAACGCTTTTAAGGGACCCTTCAGATATTCATGCTCGAATATGTGCTAGGACAACGAGAACTCAATTTCATCCTTGTCGCTCATCTCCAAATTGTAATATATTTTTGATCCTTTTTGAGTTTTGCTAACACATGGTGTCTCTGTACACTGCTTCCAAATTTACGCTGAAAGTATGGCACTCAAAGGTACACACTTATTTCTCTTCCCCTATACTCTAATGAACTGAATTGATTCTGAGCTCTTTGTTTGAATTTGTAGAGGTTCGCGTGTTAAGTATTGCAAATGGTACTGATATTTAATGCCCCATTACTCGTAATGTCAAAATGAAAGTGCAGAAGTGAAAAGCTGCGAAATGACTGCGTGGTCTTAATTCGATTTTGCATAGTAAAATGTCGACTATTGGAATTATGAAAGGGAATAACATCATCACAGCAGAAGAACGCAACCCAACAGAGATATCGATTAATGCTTCAGTTCTAAAAGGTACCCTGTTCTGTATCCTTTTAAATGTAAATTAGCAGCCATGCAACCCTGATGCTGCAGACAGGCCAGAAAGTATATTTCGTTGACTCACATTTCGTGTGAGGAAGATTTCAAGAAGCAATTATGAGTTGGTCAATATCGGGCCATAAAATCATCACTGACCAGTCACTCGTTGCACCTATCTATACTTTGACGATAGAGACTAAAAAACACTGCCAATAGCCCCTTGTTGGCATTCAATGGTAATGCTGCTGTTTAGCAGATCGGTGGGTATTCGGAGTGAATGCGTTAGAACTTCAGTTCTCACCGCTAGACTAACTTGTGCTGGTTTTGATTAAACTCATCTAATGGCAACTGGTTGGCCCTATGCCCTGCAGTCATCATAGGATTACTAATCTGTTTGATTAAAATTCTACCCTCAACCATACAGGAAATTGCCCTTCACAAGGCTAGCTTGTTTGCTCCAATTTGTCCAAAAATATTGCTGATCAGAAATGATTCATGGTTCCTAAAAAAGTAAATTACGCTCACCAAAATCTTCGCTCTTCGTATCACACGGCTCCCTGTTCGGTCAACTTAATTTGTTGGCAGACAATTATTTGCATCAATTAACATTTCTCGCGATACAATGTTATGAAGTAAGGAAAAAGGAAAGATTCACGGATGAGTCTTTTCTCTTTCCGAAGTTGTGCGCCTCTAGAACCAGAAGATTTTTTGACTCTATGTACTTTGATAATAAGCTTCCTCATCCAAACCCAGGAATGCTGGTGTCGGAAGTTTTACTACACATAACAGGCGGCTGAACTTGCAGTTTTATACTGGCCAATCAAAATTCAGAATATTATATAGGTTCGCAGGAATACGAAGGTAATTTAAATTACCTCCTCAAGAATCTAATGAAAGTCTTCTGATTGGTACAGTAAAACATGCGAAGGTAAAAAACAAATGTGGTTTACTTTCAAAAAGTGTGCGCATTGCCTTACTGAAGTTTGTTTTTATTAGTGCATTTAACTTAAAGTAGTAGACATTTTCAACATTAAAGACATCAAATGAAGGACTTTTGTTGAGTATTTATCCATTGTGATTTAGCTACTGTGCACTAGCTTTCCGAGCCAAATATAATTTCATGTACCATCGTTTTGCTTCAGAAATCGTAAGTGTTTGTCTCTCTGACTAAAAATCCCTCATCTATTCTTCGCAATTATTCGGATCTTTGCAGGAAAGTGCAGACCAGATGCACGTTTAGTCTGAAAAGTTGAAACCAACTCTTTCCACAGCTTTACTTGCTTTTTAGAAATCAACATGCACTTATGTCGATGATGTGAACTCCTATTAGGTTGCGAGATCCATCATCTGACCCAACTCTCCAAAATTTCCCAGAATTATTTGAGTACAGAACTCATTAAATCCCTTTCCACACACTGGGCCTTAAAACCTTATCCCAATTCTTGGATAGTAATATTGCTAGCTACTAGAATATTGATATTTAACTTCTTTTTCTGTCCGTGGCTTTTTAATACAACTTATACGTTATCTCGTACAAGTGCGGACCGTTGAAAACTTATTGATATGGATTACCCATATAGGTACATTGTATACCCTTCATATTTGGTTTGAATTAAGTTGGATATTCAAAAGGTAAACAAGTTTGTCTACTATTTCCAACTCTGATACCCTGCCCTTGACCAACCTGAGCCATATTTTCAACAATAGTTTCATCGAATAGGAATTACGTTATCCGATTTGGGTAGCCGAAGTAGGCTGGTTAAGATATCTAATGCGTTTTCGTAAATATTTAGAATGAGTGATAAAAACTGGATTAAGGATAGCGTGACAAATGTTTTGTATGAATATATTTATCAAACGGGAAAAGAAATTGGCAGACGGCCGTTCCAGCCCGTGTAAGTGCTACGTTTCTATACGAGGGACGTAATAGTTGTAATAATAATTTTACAAACGTTATGTTTTCGGAAAGCAAAAAATTGTAAACAAACAATCATTCTGATTAAGTTTGCCTTTCTTTAATGTTCTTCGGCAATGCCATAACTACCTATTTCGGTTAAGTTCAGACTATTTGGCAGAAACCTGCAAACACTAAACTTAAATTGATATTACCCACTTTGACGTCACGGCACCCGAAAGTTGACATTTTTCCTGCAAAAAGGACAGTCTGGAAAGGATTTTTTATGATAGCATAATCGAGAGCTCATTTTCTATTAATATTAATTAATACAATTATAGTAGTGGCACTGTGTAAGTATATTACCACCTACAGTTGTCATTTCCTATTTAAATTTAAAGAAAATATATCATATATAATGTTTTAATATTGAACTTTGTAAAACGTCATTCTATAGGCATATATATCCTTCAAATTTGTAGTTTTTTTTTAAGAAAAACTACGTTGGAATCGACAATCATCTCGAGAAATAATTATTTCTGAGCCAAACAGAACACTTAAGTGTTCTGTTTGGCGGAAAACTGCTCAGATGTATTTTTTCCAATAAAATGCGATAGATTTCAAAGAAGCGTTGTTTATATTTCCGAATTTTTAGTAGCAAACTTTGTTCTGTCGTAGGTTTGAGTGTTTCATAATGCTTTATACGTTTTATAACTACCTGGGCATAAGTGTCTTTAGCTGTGCAGATTGCAAGCACATTTCGGTCAGCGGAGCAAATATTGGGGTTCGGTTCACCTAGTTAGGCCGTGCACACGGGATCTTGGATATCAAAGTTGTCATAATTGATAGCAGTGTACAGGTTATCTCATTTGTCGACTATTCGACGCTCGATCGTCGAATGAACAGGTCTGTTCATTAGCCGATATGGACTTGTCGGTGAGGCTACTTCAAATAAATTCTAAAAATTTTGGTTGATAATGCCAGAAGGAAATTATAACATACGGTTTCTTTTATCAAACGAATTATTTCACTGTCACCTCGAAATTCAAATTTTTGAAGAATGTCTGAATATTTCGAACGAACTTTATTTTTAAATGTTTTCCAAACTAGAACAAACGACTGTAAGCATTTCTGAATTAGAGGTGGCCTAAAACTGAGACAGTTACATGCCTACTGAATGCACCGAAGACGTTAAATTAAGAGTGCAATACAAGATACGGGAACTCTCTCAATGTTGTCATGCTGTTTTTGTCGTACTAAGATTATATGACTATGTTAATGCGCACAAAAATGCCAAATGCACTCACTTTGGCTCTCGTGCTTTAAGACATGTAGACTTTACATATTAGCTTTTGTTCTAAAATCCTTTGCGAGGATGGCTTAAAGGCTGCCGGTGTTTATATCATTATATTCGCTAGTTGTGAGCGCCAATTCTGTTAAACGGTAAAATGATATTTCTCCTAAAACGTCAAGTATGCTAGTCACAACAACTTTTTTGCAGTCATTTAACTGAATTTACGTTATTTTATTCTTGCCCCTATAGTGGGTCCGCCTCCTTTACATTCTTCTGCACAGACAAAAAAACTGGTAAGGAATGGGTACTCAAAACTTTGCAAAAGAGGGTACGCAGTACATTATTTCTGTTTCTGACATATTGCTTACTTCTAGGTGAAGAAATCCATAACTCAATGCGAGCTAGGCAATTTGCTGCGCTTAAATCACCCAAATATTGTATGAGTTCCGGTAGTTTCATTGACTTTTTTTGACAATTAGGCACGATTGAAGGAAGTCTTTGAATCGGCCGCATTCATCCAGATCATTTCGGAGGCCGTTTATGGGACCCCTCTTTTTGAAGCGTTTGTTTGGTGTCAACGTTTTCATGCTATCTATTTTTTGGACATTTTTGCATACCGCACACTAGTCATATTCACAGGCACTATGTCTGTTGACCACAGTATTCCATACATTATATGCAAGGAAGCATTTTAGCACATAACCGTTGAAAACTATTATTGATTATACGATCTTAAGACCTGTTCACATCCCAAAATTATTTTGATTTGTCTGGAATGAAGAAATAAAAATAAAAGACACAGGCTTTTAGAAGATAAACGAATTGTACGTTTCTTGGGGCTTTTGTATATCCCTGTTGTGGTGATTCTGAAGAACTCAGCTTGTGTAGGAAAAGAGTTTCGAAAATGTATTCGATATATCTCGCTTTGACAAATGACATCGGCAGAACGGTTGTGATTCGCTAATTTAAATTCATAAAAGTACTTAAGGTGAAAATACAAGGAATGTAAAACAGTCTATGTTAAAAGATGAGGAAAAATCAGTGTGGTTAAGGCAAGCCTTTTTAGACCCTTTTGGACAGCCATTTTGAAAAATTTGTTAGGATGAACATAAATTAATCAAGATCATATATTATTAATGCAGACTGAGGTCACTCAATTTATACATCTAATCATAAACGGATTTCATCATTGAGACTGTGCAACCCACCTAAAAATATGGACATGTCCATACAGGTTGCAGTTCCCTTATTAAAGTATTGTTATATTCCTATTTTGGTCTACTTACCGCATTACAATAATACTCGGCTATATAACCTTCAAAATATTTTTTCTGACGCTAACATTCACAGACATCCCCTGTGTTTTACACCGTAGACTAGCTGACATGCCAAAGTACAGTGAACAGGAACTGGCATTTTGCATGCGTGAGATTCTCAAGGGGTTGAGTTATCTGCACGAAAATGGACTTGTTCACAGAAGTCTCAAGGTGCGCTTAATGCGGTTTTTATTAGTTCTTCCTAGGGCTTTTTGACAACATTTTTGTTTGGGATTTAAAACATATTTTCGTTAGAAAGAAGACCTAATTTTCGACAAAGGGCAGATAAATTTATCGTTTTTCATTTTAGAAGGTTTTTATTACCTTCGGATCAGACAGAGTGGCCTTTTACGTTCTGATGGTCTTTTACAGGCTTAATTTTCGTTCATCAACTGCAGTAATATTGAGACTAAACAAACGACCTGAATAGTCGTTGCTCTTTAATATTCCATCTGATGCCCTTACTTTTCTGACATCTGCTTTGCATTTTGTCTTTTCGCATCGACTTTTGTACCGAATGTTGCTTTGCAGAAGTTACAGCTCTGCTTTTTATTCCTCAAAATTCGTTTCATATCACAAATTTTCTTTAAAAAACATCGGTCATAATCAAATGAGAAAACTTAATTACCAAAATCTTTCTACAAACAGAATTTATTTTAGTGAAGTTCGTTTGGTAAGTGACATAAAAATCGCTTTTTTAAGTGTAAAAACAGGCTTCATCATCCTTTTATGACCGTTTCGCGAGAACTTCGATATTTCCTAAAGTGACTTCACTCAAACTGGGCATTTACTTAGAATCAGTGAATGTGGTCGGCAAAAAATTGTTTAAATTCGGTCTTTGTTAGCAAACCTCTTGGGTTGCGGGCAGTTGAAAAGGCTGTTTTAACAGCTTAAGTCATGTGCCGAGCCAAACGTCTGGGACTATCGGACAGACCTTCAATTAATCTAAGGATATAGTCGAAATCTAATAAAAAGCAATGTTTTGTTCGGAAGCTCTGAGGAGTATTTTGGGCGTGAAGTATGCATGCATTTTTTGCAAATCAAAGTTAAATTTAATCATTATATAGGCTTTTAATTGCTCGATCTTCTACACATATCTTATTTTACAACTAGAATGATGAAGGTTATAAATTATTCTAATTTTGAGACTCGAGTCTTCGTTTTACAAGCGCAAACTCTTTTCAGAATATTTCCCTTAAAGGCCTTTTAAAGACCCTGGTCCACTGCGTCTACGTTTTTTCGAGTATTGTCTTTAGTCTGCTGCTTAGTCGCAGATTTGTTGACATAACTCTGATACTGCAGATAGTGGAAGTGAAAACTGATTCAGATCTGAATTCGCGCAGTTAATGGCTCTTTAAAAGTCCTCTGAAGTGGCCACATTGTGGCACTGATCGTATGGGCAATTACGTTGTCTTGATGTCACCGGTTGAGGTAAGTTCTCAAACGCAAAGCCTTTAAACGTTCTCCGAATTGCTCGATATCACTGTAGCTGTGTTGCAATCCTTCTTCTGGAGAAACAGGGCGTCCGGATACCTGTTTGGCCGTTGCATCGCGCCAGGCTGTGCTCTTAGGGAAGTGCAACTTATGTTGGAAAATTCCCCTTACATTCTCTATGCTCGTGATCCTAATAATTTGCTTACCTCCAGAGTCGTTCAAACTAAAACGCGCTATGTCTTTTACAGAATTAAAATAACACATGTATACTCACCGTTTTAGAGTCCTGGAGATAGGATTCCAGAAATATTGTTAGATTGATTTTGTTCTGTTCTCCGTCATGAATTTTTGTTGAGATAAATTTCTAAGGAACACCTTCAAAAAATCATAAAGTCGGTAACGAGAGGTTATAAATTTTTAAGTAACAATGCTCTCGAATTTGTTTTATACCTTCTCACTATAATTTATTATAACTCAGCCATTAACTTTAGTATGCTTATGATGAATAAGAATATTTGCAATTCAGCTATTTTGCCAGGAAGTTCTTTAGCAGTCAAGCCACCAGAAGCTTGCGAAGGAATAGAAGGACAGTCCAGATTTAATCAAGGATTAAATTTTAATTGTAGCCACGAAATTTGATGTACTGCGACACGCAGGACGGACCGCTCGTGAAAATACGTAAGTTGCGGTTGATCCTGCTATATACAAACAACCCCGCAATTTCCCATCTTATCCGTCCTTTTAAACGAAAGAGCCATCTTCGCCTACCAAAAGTTGTTTTTGTAACTATATCTCCGAGATAAACTGAAACCTCTTACCATTTCCTATAAAACGCATTATATTTGCTACTCAGCTTTAATAAGTAGCATTATATAATAGTATTTTAATGGTCAGTCCAATGCCCTTTGAAGCCTTCTGCGGCTTGTCTCGTGCCAGCCTAACTCATGACGGCAAACAGCCCACTAAATTAAGAGAATTATGTTACAAATACATCTGGTAAACTAAAAAATTCTTCACTTTCCACGTTCCGAAGTCGATGTATCTTTCACAACGATCCTCGGAAGAGACACAGAGCTGGAAATGGTATGCGGCGATCCGACCTTTTGTGCTCCCGAAATTCTGCTCAGTCATGAGTATGGAACAAGCGTTGATATGTGGGCACTGGGCGTTCTATTATTCATCATGTAAGTTCCTTTCATTCTAACCATTTGCCACAGTCCCCATAAACACGTAGTCACCCTAGTAAACAGACGATGCGGCATCTAATCGAACCTTAACTTCCATAATGTGACTGGTGTGTCCGAGAGTAAAGTTTTGACTTCAGGCGCTCATCTTTAGTCGGGAACAAAAATGACTGGTAAAAAAACAGTTGTGTAGATTAATTTTAATTAAATTGAATAAATTAACTCAGGGAAATTTCACTTTCAAGATATATCAATGCCTTATTTCTACGTTTGTTTGAGGTACTTCGACACCAGACTAATGCTGAAGAAGAAATAACTCCATACTACATCATTAACTTTAAGCCATACAAAGAGCTCCAGTGGAGGAAGATGAGGCTTGACAAGACTGCAGCCATGCATATATCGATGGCATGCCACCAATCAGACGTCCAATAAACGCTTTTTGAGAAAGTTCCTCTTTTTAAGGAAGTGCTCTGTTGATTGAGACTTGACCTTGTTCGAGGTGGTTAGGGTGGTCACCTTAGTTCAACCGCTACTAGCTCTTGGGCTGTCCTGCCGGCGGCCCGTGCAATACAGTTCCGACCAAAACTTAATACAGGCGATGCGTGACTAAACAAGGGGAATTCCCCAGTGTTAATCATTCAAGACCCAGTAGGTGAGACAACGGAGCGGATGTGCAGTGTTATCGACCAGCTCTTGATGTTGTACTTACCAGCGACGGCATTCAATTTAATGTTACGGAAACTGCCTACTCATGATGCATTAGTACGCGTTATTTAAACGTTTAATTCCTCAGGGTCTGCGGTAGTGAACCCTTCCAGAGAGCAGAAGAGGGTGATACCTTCCGTTCAATCCTGCAAGCTGCTTTCGAATTAGACATGCCTGAGTGGGAAACTGTGACCCTGCACGCCAAGGACGTTGTCAAACGGTTGCTCGTTGCGGATCCCCTGATCCGCATGACTGCGGCTCAGACCCTCAAACACGACTGGATCATCGGCACTGCCACACCGGACCTTCATCTGCCGGCCTCACAGTACGACCTGAGAAAGTATAACAAACGAAGCGCAAAGAAGGTTGGCTCCTTTCATTCATTTTATGCCTTCCAATTTCTCCCGTTCTATGCAGACTACCCTGACGGCTTGCCATTTGCCATGAAAGACGACTTTTTCCCTCGACATAGCGGTGGCAACAAACTTAAGAGCAACTGACCTGCCTTGGCACGTCATCTTGTCATTCTCTCACATACATGTCCGCTTGACAAGGGAGCAGACTTAGTGTGAAGCACAAATACACCCGGTTTCCCGTCTGACAAGCAGAAAAAAACTAAATGTGCTGCCAGCTGCTGCCCGAGACAGATACCTCAGTGCCCTCGTAAACCTGACGTCAAGGTTTTATGCAGTAACAGGTGATATGGGCTGCCGAAAGAGGATCATGGGCATGCGGAATGGTGGGAACACTCTCGGTAGGAACTGTTTTAGGGAGGCAATGGGATACCGATATCTGTTTCTAGTACTCGGATTGTGTACGGTCAGTAGATTAGGGAACTATCGCCCTTGAAGTTGTGCTGAAGTTCACTCGCTCACCGATCTCATGAAGTATTGACTAAGATTCTGAAATGCGTTTTTGACTAGGAAGGATGGCGACGATATAGAGAAGGACCCCACTTAACTGTCAGTAGACCGTGGATCGTACCATACGTGATTTATGCAAAAGGGAGTTTTATGGGTGGGGCAGCACGCTAGACAGTAAGCTGACAAAATGGAGGAAAACACAGAAATTTCCTGAATTTATGCCGAAAGTCTTATCCTACGCTATTGTACGACAACGGAAATGAGAGTAGTAATTAAACAATGAACAAAAAGTAAATTTCACAAAATAACGGATTTTGAGTTAAGGTGTGAGGTCGTGGGAAGTGATCGTTGTTGGCAGTGTAATTTCTGCAACAGCCTGCAAATGTATGCCAAGATGAAACCCCATATGACACGATTCACAGTCTACTGACATTTAAATGGGATCCTTCTCTATACCGTTGCCGGAAGGGTTACTTAGGTGGGGTTGTAATCCTATAATATTTCGGACTCCGCAGGATGTCAGCCTTCGAATGCATTTCTTTTCAACCTCGTGTAAAAACCGTACTCGGTAAAATATGACTACTTATGTGGCATACAATTTTCACATTGATTTTCGATGGTCTTATAAACTTATATATATTTTGCAAAAAACAAGAACAGAAATATGGTTTTTCCTTCGTTTGATAAAGAATCACGCCATTTTCATATCTTGTACTCGAAGAAAAAGTTTAACTAGGTTTTAAAAAGTTTCTAATTATGAGATTTTTTAAGACCGTGCAATGTCCATTCATACAGCATCGTACCTGTCCGTTTACCACTGCTCCTCATAAAATGTACAGCATAGTCCGCATCCATTGCAAGATTTTATGGACATAGAAGACTATATGATTTTCCTTACACGGAACTTACGCACCTTGTGAACTGAAATCACAAAATGATAATGCAACGGTTCATCGCGCTTCAGGTTATTAGGGAATTAGAAAACATTCCAAAACCTAATTACATTCCTTCTTCGAGTATAAACTATGAAGTTGATGTGATACTCTATCAAACGAGTAAAAAGCATACTTTTGTTCATGTTTTTATAAAATATATTTCAGTTTATAGGACCATCGAAAACCAGTGGGAAAAATGCATGTCACATAAGTAGTCATATTTTACCGAGTACGGTTTTTACATGAGGTTGCAAAGAAGTGTTTTCAAAAGCTGACATCCTGCCGAGTCCGAAATATTATAGGATTATGCCGCAAGATAATCAGAATTACAACCCCACCTAAGTACTCCTTCCTAATCGAAAGCGCATTTCAGAATTTCGGTCAATATTTCATGAGATCGGTCGCTCACTGTAGTTAATTTTCAGTGTTCGGAGTTTGGCCAAAACGCTTCCTGCGGTTAGAGACGATCGCACATGATTATGGCCTATCCTTCGAACGATGAAACCACTTCTTTAGCCGAGTTGTCCGATACCTGAAGCACCTTGGTAACTAACACTTACTTCAACGGACTTACGGCAACAGTATGTGTCTAAATGTGCTCCGTAAAAGCTAGCGGACATGCAGGTACGTGTTTTTGAGAATTACAAGTCGAGCTCGAGCGGAACCTCGACCGCACATAAAGTATCTTTCCATCTGTTCGAAACTTGAAGTGACCATTCGACGACGGGCATTTTGACGGTAGATCATCACGAATTCTCAAATGACCAGAAAGTATCGGCACGTCTAAACAAAGGATTGTCTGCAGGCGTTATTACCGCATTTTAGGGCACGAAATCACAGAGATTTTTAAATTAATAAAACGTCTGGTCTTCCAGAAATAACTTGGTTGTTCGCCACCTTCTCCACACTGCTTATTGCGAACGAAAAAGAATTTTGAAGTACGACAAGTTTTGTTCGATGCAACTCGAAGTTAAATTGTCCCCCCCCCCCCTCTGAAAGAAAAACAAGTTCAGATGCACAAACTAAATTTAGGATGGCCATTGACATAGGAAATTGTCGGAATACCGGGTAACGTGGGTTTCTGCTCAAATCTATAAACATTTCGACTGATATAATTACTCAGACACATACAATGAGTAGGGGTTCGGCTCATCAGTGGGTCCCCCAGCATTCCCCATCTGCTTTCTGGTAGATACTCTAATTCAGAAATTGCCGCTTTCTAATTTCCTCAGAAATTAACTGCGAACTTGGAGTAGATCAGTTTATTTAAGGTCTATAGGCACAGACCGAGAATTTTATGTATGAATATCTGGGCCGAAGTCCATCAGCCACAGCGGGTAACCGCGTAGTATTCAATAACTGCCGACAGGCAGTTGGTAGTATACTTTAGGGTAAAGGGATATCATGCTAACGGCACAGTTACTGGCCTTTTAATAAGAATTTTACTCGCTGTGCCTGGCGTAAATCAGGAAATATCCGCAAACTCCCAAAGCACCTTTAATCAATTGAGAATTGGTCCGAATACATCGGCCTTCAGTACTGAACAAATATTATATTGTTTATAAAAAACAATCTCATTAAGAAATGTAGCAAAACTGAAAACTTGAGTATTTGTGCAAAATAAGCAAACGTAGTTTTTTTTGAAGTTCATAAAGCCTTTCCAAGCAAGCTGTTGAGTAAATGGAACAGCTAAATCAAAGCAACGTTTGCAAACATTTCAGATAAACTATAAGCTGGTAGGGGTAGAAACTGCTTGATCTTTGATTCTGTTTAAAAATAATAGTTCGGGAATGTCACATAGTCATAACGTTTTCTCATTTTTTGAGATGCGACTGATTACACCGAAGAGCTTTCAGTTCAGTTAAGGAGATAAGGTTGTCAGAGGCACCAAGGGGGTTAGATAACAAGTTGAAAACCTCCGACGGCGGAGTTTGCTGAGTGTTTTGACGTCCTTTAAATTCAGTTTTTTTCAGTCGATTGTCCTAAATGTCATATTCTGTAGTCTTTGCTAATCAAAACCTTTAAAAGCGCTTTTGACTATTTATCTAAAAAGTGGCACTTAGGATTTTCCTTTTCATTGCCATTAAGGCGTGGGTTTTATTTATTGACTCACCGATTCACTGACAACGTAGCCCAGAAACGCATTCTGCATGAGAAAGCACTCTCCGGAACGTGTTAACTGACAAAGTAAGGTGTTCAACCTTTGAAGTGGTCCGAACTGACCGGTCAGATTCCGAACATTGAGTTTGCTAGTGCCAGCGAGAGATGCGACGTTCGCAATATGTTCGAGCACACTGCATAATTTATGCTGTGATGCAGTGCTAAAGGAATGCAAAGTTCGTGATCAATCTCATGAAAGGGTAATCGAAAGTCCGAAGTGTGTTTTCCATTAGAAAGGACTACTTAGGTGGAATTGTAATATTGATTATCGAACGGCATGATCCCGGGACGGTTCAGTCCCGTTGGGACGCCAACTCTTGAATGAACTTCTCGATCACCTCCAAGGAGGTACTCGGTATAAAAAGACTGCTTAAGCAGTGTGCATTTTATTTTGTGATTTCGATGTCCCTGTAAATTCAAACAGAGTTTATAACGAACATGCACGAAATATTCTTTCTTGTACTTGTTAGGTCGTTAATCACCTCTTCCACAAACCCCTAGCTTTAAGAAAGAGTATGAACCGGTTTTTTAAAGTAATTCCTTATTCCCGAATAATTTTGAGCCCTAACTGTCGGTGCAATTGCGTTTAGGGCATGCAGCCTACAAGCTGTTTGCTTCCGGAGTAAGGAAAAGCATACATCCCTTTATACCCTTATGAAGACGCTAGATAGGATTCATGAAAATCACTAGTGAAAGGACGGATACGATTCTATTTGAGTGAGCATTTTAGGACCCTGAAAAACCTCATTCTTAGAGCCTTTTTTAAACCTAAATATGCCCTTGGACGGTTTCGCAGATGCCCAACTGGCACGAAATATCCGAAAGTCGCTTTTAAATCACATTTGACACGCCCGGCTGAAACTGTCAAATCCATCGTCACAAACGCAGAATTTTCGGCACGTGCTTCAAGGCTCGGTCACTTCAGTACCCTGAATTGTCCGCTTCCTTGAGAATCCCTGCTCAAAATTTGGGGCGTATGGAAACACAGCAAACAGCCGTTGCACCCAAGGCGTCATGGTAACAACGAGCTGTGTGTGGGCTAGTTGGAGTGGAAGGATTCATGAGATAGGAAGGTGATCTTGATTACCTCTCACAAGAAGAGTGGGTGTCCTCTTGTCTGAAAGGAACTAGTTCCTGGACTTGCCCCTCTACTTAGGACTTCAGGCGCGGGGACTGAGTAGAATAAGTAGTTAAAAAGCTGGAATTTAGATTATTGAGGAAGTGGTGGTGAGTTATCGAGATGAGGGTGTCGACGCGACACGTACAAAGCCAGGGAGACCAAGCTATTCGGACAAGCTTCACTGTGACGAGGAAGCACATGCGCAACTGAACCGGCAGCGGCTGCGAAGCGCGTGCGCCTGGTCTTTGTTCACCTCCAGCCAATCAGCGAATGGTGCAGCGTCGATTAGTGTTGAGTTCTCGCCACACCGGGGCCAAATCACGCGCGACTCAAGCAGCCAATTAACAGGAGAAGTTGGGCAAATCGAAGGCGACATGGGTGAGCGTTGGCGCTAGCGGTCGTGAAATCGGACTGCCATAATCAAACATTTACATTGCCCAGCGGGTCACCTGAGCCTGTCAAGAGTGTTTAATTTACTGCGTCCTTCATGAAACATCGCCTATTACTAGCGATTGACGCAAGGAAGAATTAGGAGTTAGGTAGACTTGTATCCCTAGATATAATCAAATTGACAAATATGCTACCGCGAATCGCGATTACCAAATCACAGGTTGCGGAAACGCTGTGTGGTTCACAAACATGTACACAGTTCGGAATGGCAGAAGTATGACCTTGACCGCGGGAGGTACCTCGTCAAAAAAGTGTGTTTGCAGGGAAACGTCGGCATCAGTCCTACTTATCAAGGGATCATTCCCCATTCCTCACTTGGAAATGGCTCAGTGGCTTGTAGGTCATATTACCCGGCAATTTATCCGATTCAGTAGATTCATAACCGTCATGAGCTGCGCAATCAAACCCCAGCCTCTCTCGTCCCAATCCATATTACCTGCGCGATTTACATTGGAATAACAGCTGCTAAGATTATCGCCCACACCGGAAACAAAACAGGCCTAGAATTGATTGAAGCCTGGGCCTCGGATGAGAATTCAGTCAATCGATTTATCGATCTAGCGCTGGCGTACAGAACCCTGCACAGTCATCTTCAGTCTTGCACCATCGATCGATAAGTGGCTAACACGCTCTATAATTGTCACTCTTTCTGTTGTTGCTACTATCTTTGACGACGGACTCCTGCATGAGTTCGAAAGCTCAGAAGAATAAACAGAATGTTCCGGTACTCGACCAGCCTTCTTATGCATTCATATGTACCTTTCATATCCAGTATAGACAGTGACGAATGCTTTTTTCCCTCCCATCACCTTCGTGCCTCCCAAAATAGTCGGATGATGAACCCTGCGACAATGAATCAACCCAGGACGAATCTCCACCCCAAGAATAATATTTTATTTGTGCACGTGATGCTTAAACTTCAAATACTGACGTATTCCGCCCTGAGTAGATGCTCATTAACGTTTACGATGTGACATTCAAACCTCACCCTGTCTGTTAACTGCACTGCCAGCACCCGCCTAGATGTGCACTCTCGTTTTAACCACTTACATAGAAATTATATTTTGCCAGAATGTGGTCGCAGATGGCTCCCATGCGCCTAAACCAGTCTGATTTGCTCATGCATTTCCACTAATCACCTCTTATTAAGTAGTCTAACAATACTGCAGACAGTACGATGTTCACCATGTGCCCAACAGCGGATATGATACAGGACGGTGAGTCGCGCGTGAATCAGTTTTAAGGGATAGCAGACTTGCGTGGCATCTGCAGCACTCTCTCTTCCCTCAGCCACCTGGGCCCCGTGACAAGACATAGCCAGGACGACCGGAAGTGAACTCAGGGGCAGCGACCAGCAGAACTAGCAATCACTCTACGCGTGCCACGCACAACCAGGTTTTCAAGAAAATGAGGGGACGGTCCGCACATCGCTTTCGTAAAAATGCCACATTCCAAAAGCGTTATTGAACCTTTTGCTCAGCCTTTAGGCTAATGACCCCAGGCACTGGCCCCGAGGACCAATTTGTCCCGTCAGTTTGCCGCATCCTATGCCACGACGTTTTTGTGTGTGGTGGTTGATTCAAACGCGTCAGATTCACTGTAGTGAGGAATTCTCTAAAGGGCCGTGAGGAAGGCCTTTTCATGTCGACCCCGCTTTCCCTTCTCATTCCCATACAGAAGTTCACTGTTCGAACCGATCAGTCATCCGGCGCTGGGATTAGGCATATGGGCTGACAGGGTCACAATAACCCCTCTACGCGTGCCTCGGGCGAGCTGGTCCCTGCACGGTGTGCCGGTTTCTCGCACGAAGGGAGAGCTCGGATTTCACGTGCGTAAGATTGCCATATACGTTACAATAAGAAGGAAACATGCAACGGAGATCGTCAATGGGCCCCTATAATTTTCACTGTTTGGTTTTGGTTATAAAAGTGCTTCCCTTTCCTAACAATAAGATTTTGCTTTCATCAGGAAGCAATTATCAACCCTTGATACAAGTCTTCTAAGGTTAAACTTAAATCAGAAACAAATATTTAGGCTGGATTCCCTTAAACCTAGTGTATAAATATGTAGGTAGGTTAACTATACTGTCATCTTATATGCTAACTGGTGCACATGTCGAAGTGTGATTTAATAACTTCGGAAACTCCAAGTTTGCGCATTAATTTTTAGCAAGGCCTAAAGCTTAAAGATAACACTTGTTAAAGCAATATTATCCCGGAAGAAATTTGAACGAGACCAAGTCCTTAGGACAAGTAGAATTTAGTGGAATTGTAAACGTCCTTAATAAACACTAGATTGCAAAAGGCCACCGCCGCTTTGAACAGCGGTGTCTCCGTTATTTGAGGGTATCTTAAACCTGATCTCAGGCTGTCTGCTTCGAGTCAACCTTATCACTGGATGAGTTTTCCCGATATTTCAAAGGAATGTTTTTACAGAGTCTAGACCTTGCACAAATCATTTTACCCGGAGAAGACAGTTCTCCACAGGGATTTAATGGCGCCTTCTCCAAAACCAAAGCCTGTTTTCTAATCAAACAAAGTTTTAAGCCTACATCTTTAAATTTTAACCAAAATCCGGACATGTGTCTTCGATTTGAAAGGATTAATTGGGTGGGGTTTTGGAACTGATTATGGCGTAACATATTCACAAGATGATTCTGCCAGGCCAGGATACCGTCATTTGAGCTAGTTCCATTCGAGGGTTCGCAGAACCCACATTTGGTAACAATTGGCTGTTTAAGTATTACGCATTTTCACGACTCTTTTGAGATGCCCTTATAAATTCAAATTCATTTTGCGGAGAACACGCTTAAAAGTATTTCTTCCTGCACTCATTTGTCGCAAAATTGCTTTTTCAAATTAAATGCTTGAAGAAGGAGAAAATGGGACTTTTTAAGACCGTGAAATGTCTATCGTACCTCTCCATTTCTTAACGCCCTACATACAGTAGGTGGGCTAACCCATGAAATGTCAACCAAATTCCGAAATGAGTTTTGGTTTCAAGAAGACTAATTAAATAGGGTTACAAAACTAATCGTTATACAGCATAATTCTATAATAACTCAGTTGCATCAGGATTCTGGCTTTTGAATGAACTTCTTTTCGGCCACCTGCAGAAACCATGTAAAAATGCCTACTTAAGTAGCATACCTTTTTCTCGTCGATTTTCGATGCTTTTAAAAATTTAATTATATTTCACTGAAAACATGCCAAAAAATATTCATCCTTTTGTTCATTCGGTAAAAAATTATGTCTTCTTCCACTTTTATACTCGAAAAGGGTATAATTCGGTTTTAAAAAAAGGTTTCTAACAGAGTGCTTTTTTAATACTGTGAAATGGCCGTTCATAAAACGTCCTGTCTCTGCATTTATCAACGCGGCTTGTAAATTTAACAACATGGCTCAAAACCATTGCTAAATTTTTATGAATTCCATATGGTCTCCTCTTTATACCGTAGAGAAATGTATGGTTTTCCGTGCGCGGAGAATATACGGCTTGTACTTTGGAAAATCTGAATGCAAGTGTAACGGCAGGTCGGGTTCAAAATTATCCGGGAATTAGAAAGGTTTTTACAAACCGAATTATACTCTTCTTTTGAGTATAAAATTGGAAGAAAACGTAATTTTCTACCGAACGATTAAAAGAATGGATATTGTTATGCACGTTTTCCATGAAATATGATTGAATGTTTAGGGGCACCGAAAATCGGCGAGAAAAAGGCATGCTACATAAGTAGTCGTTTTTTACACAGCATGGTTGCTGCAGGCCGCCGAAAAGGAATTCATTCAAAAGCTAACATCCTGATGTAACTGAGTTATCAAAGATTTATGCTGCATAATGATTAGTTTTACAACCCTATTTAACTAATCTTTTAGAAACAAGAACGCATTTCCGGATTTTGATTGAAATTTCATGAGTTAGCCCACCTACTGTAGTTCACATTCATTACAAACACTTATTAGACCCAGATAGTATCTTCCTAACGGCGCAGAGAAATTTATTATTCCCCTTACACGGGAGGAATACACCTTGTGGTTTGGGAACCCTAGGCGTAAATGAAACTGCAGGTAGGTTTCCAAATCATCCGGAAATTAAAGGGTTTTTTAAAAACCGAATAATAGTTCAGGTGTGGTTATGTAGCCCCACCGGAAGTAAATAAGTCCCAGCCACCTTTAATACGAGACCGGTGGTAATAGGAACTTTTACAGGTGACACAAGGGAACGCACAGGCGACGAGGTCAAGTAGTTTGCATATAAAAGAAAAACAGTTGGGAATGTGCGGTTGTTCTTTGAGTGGTTTAGAATTAGTTGCCCTAACCCAAAACCCTAACGCTAACACCTAGCCGTAGCCCCTAACCCTCATGTCTAACCCTAACCCCAACCCAAGCATTATTGTGTCCATTAGGTGGGGTTAAAAAACCACATCTTACCGAATAATACTTTTTTTGAGTATAAAATTTGAGGAAAATGCGGTATACTATTATACTAGCACAAAAAGAAGATTTTTCTGCTAGTGTTCCATGGAATATTTTTGAATTTTTAAAGACATAAAGAGGCAGTGGGAAATTCTCGCACTATGCAAGTAGTCACTTTTTATTGACTGTAGATTTCGCAGACTCGCGAGTAGGAGCTCATTCAAAAGTCGGTATCCTAAGTGGCCTTCTCTGGTCGGAAACGCACTTCAGAATTTCGTTTGACTTTTTGTGTGATAGACCGCGCCTTTCGCACGGACATCCAGCAAGAAAAGAATTCTGAGGCGTACCTTAACTCCGTGCCAACCGCAAGTCCTGTGAGCCCGCCTGTCGAAAGGAATGATACCCCTTCATGTTACCACTTTTAGGCAGCAAGTTTGAGGATGTACACGTCATTGGATGCGCGAAAGCACGTGGAGCACAGCATGAGAAAGATTAACTGTGCCCCTGTCCGCTTTGAGAAAAAATCCGGTCTTGAATCGGAGGATCCCACGCAGTCATTTTCCCTTAACGCTTTGAGGTAAACGGGGCGCACCCGATTCGACCACACGAAACCAAATCACTGGACCAAGTAGGTTGTTGCACTGCCCAGTTGGGGGTTACTGCGACTCCCTGTGTTGCCAGTGTTGACGACGTTTCAGTTACTGTTATCCTTCATACTGTTTCTTCTATGACTGGCGGCAAAGGAGACCGTTGGAGTCCCGACTGCTTGACGATGCCCTCTCCAAGTTGGATGCAAAAGATCCCAAATGTGGCCAACAGCGTACCGAACTTCAGGAGTCTGACAGTTCAGACGCCGTTTCTGCAGCAGGATGTGAGCAGGGACGGTGATTTGCGCGTGAATTAGTTTGTAGTGGTAGCAGTCCACCTCTTCCCTGTTCGTAGACGTCTCGAAAACCACCTCGTTCTGCATGCTCGGTCTAAAAATGTCGACCGTATTAGCAATCAGGGAGGTTAGTGTGCGGGGGTTCCAACGGAGGTTAACTAATGTCAAAAGTGATCCATAGTGAGAGGATTTTAGGATCGTGCAGACGTACACAGTCGACCAAATTCCGACTATAGTCTTCAATCGAATAGTACCTACTCGTAAGATAAATGAGGTCCCCTTAAGACCTAGGAGTGTCGCGAGTCGCCATAAGAGCATTCTTCGCGCACTATACCTTTTAGGCTTCTTGTGCCGACCAGTATTTCACTTTTGTTCTGTTCTCAATGAAATTGGGAAGGATTTCAGTGAATTAGATCAGCCGTTTATATTGTGAGCGTCCGACAAATTCGGTGCTAAAATGAGGAGGACACGAGAGCAACAACTTGGCATACATCAGTAATTTACATTAAGAAGACGAAAATGCAATCAGCAGAAAAAGAAATTTATTGGCCTGACCTTTCGGATTCTCACTCGAATCCATCATCAGAGACA